GGCTTACTCTGCAAACTGTTTTTAGCAATCGAGTTTTAATATCAAATTAACTCTTCATTTAAAAAAACAAAAACCAAAAAGCTATCACAAAACCAGCTTAACACCTGAGCATGTTTTAGAACACCATTTTACTTTCCGAGATTAAAAAGGGGAAAAAAAAAAAAAGGGGTTTTTTTTCCTCCTCCTTTGTTTTAGTTTTGGCCAAACACTTGATGGCCTTTTTCAGGCAAAAGAGCTTTTAGATGTTGTAAGAATTTTGTGTATGTAAAGACAGAGTGGGGGCCTCAGCATTTGCCAGTTGAGTAGTAAGAACCACCCCGAGACAAGGGGAGAGAAAAGGGGAAAAGCAAAAAGCAAAAACAAACGCTAAGTTTTATGTACTTTTCTACTTGCATCTCTTCTGTCCATAGTGCAGACTCCATGTCATACCCTCGTATAACGTGTAAAAATGAAACAATGTACATAATAAATAAAATTATTTATTTTATGTGTATTTTTAGCTTAACTGTAAACTGAAAAAAAATAACAATAAAAAGCATTTAATTTTTTTCCCAAAAATGTAAGCCTATTGAAATTCAAGGTGTTTCTACCTTTTCAGATGTAACATTTCCAGCTGCCTATTGATAATAAACATTTATGAACAGCAACAGTTCTGACATAGTTTTTTTAAGTTTTGTTCATCACAGACCTCTCAAGGACTGTCAGTGCTCAGAGGAACATTTAAGGGCTCCAGTTCTAGAGAGACTTATATTAGTATTTACATTAAAAAAAAGAAAAAAAGTTATTGCACAGTCCTGCTTATCTACACTGGCCACACAAATTTGAGCAAGTGTTCACAGGCAAAAGCTGCACAACACCTGGCTGGGAAGAGAAAACGACCCCAAACCATTCATTATGTCCTCTCGACAACAAAAAACAGCAAACCACTGGAAGCACTGGCAAATAAAATGCCCCAGAGGAACGCAATTACTGTCATACAAAGAAGTCTGAGGAACGGTAATTCTATTTTAACTTCCTCCCTAAATAGATCCTTCGACCAGCACAGCTACATCACCAGAACACAGTGTAAGAGTCATTTGGTCAAGGCTCCAGTAAAACACGAGTTTGCTCACATTCAGCACGGGCAGCATCGCTTTCTGCTAAAGGCAGAACTGCCCCAGGGCACAGACACACGCAGAAATAAACACAGCCCGGGCCAGAAGCTGAAGCAAAGCCCAGGACCAAGGTGATCCACAGCTACAGAATTTTTAATACACACATGAAGACAGAACGTTGCTTTTTCTTCTCCTCGAGTCGGATGTGCACACGCCCACTAGAAGTTCAAAGGAACCCTGAATCCCCAGTTGTGCTTCCTTCTTCCAGAAACAGGAACCAAACCGCACCTGAAGATGGTTTCCATCCGTGCAGCCTTCGCTGCGGAGGCAGACAGATTGTGCCGCAGCCAAAAATATCAGATTTGCCTGGGAAGGAGGGTGGGAGGCAGAGGAAGAAGTTTTGCCGTGTATTTTATCTCCTCTTACTTGTGCTTCCTGAAAAGCAATAGAAATCACACATCCACATAATCACCACAAACATTGAAACAAACATTTTTTGCTCTCCATTATGACATGTAGTTAAGAAAGTGCTGGTTTAAAAAGAGTCAGATTTGATTGAAAAATGCAGGTAGGCAACAACAAAAATATATATACACTAAGGAGAGGGTAGAGGGAGTTACGATGAAATTAACAGGTCATCTTAGAGGAAAAAAGACTATTTTCTCTAAAACCAATGAAGTCAAGCAGCTGCCACAGGTATGAGAAGAGATCGACACTTATCCTGAGGCGAATCCTAGCACTCTGCAGCTCGTGGTAAAATGTTCACCTGCTCCAGGAAAGGCCAGAGTTAGCATCTGGCCAAAAACTGAGCCTGAAACGTAACGAACACCCCGTCAGGACTCAGGCACACGCTCCTGTTCCTGCAGATTGCCCCTTGAAGAGCTCACTACATTGCAGCAACTGCTGCTCTTGGCGCTCTTAGCCCGTCACTCACACTGGCTGAACTATTTCATACGCGCCGCAACTTCAGCTTACCATGACATCAGGTAGGCAGCAACGCGGAGGAGTTTCTAGATACAGGCCTGCCCTGCAAAAATCAAAACTCTGACCTTATTTTAAAGCTATAAAGTCCTGGTCCAAGGGTTTTGCTGTCTTCCTTTATGAAAAAAAGCACTTACTTGGAAGCCTGCATCCGGATTTCTATATTGAATATCTTCCATCTAGAATGCAGTCTTTGACAGTTTAATTTCATAAAAGAGAAGGGTATCCAGGAGCCCTGCAGAGAGAACTGGAAGCTAAAAGTAAAACAAAACAAACGAGCTAGAAAAACTTGCCAGAGGAATCAGTTTGGGGTTCTTACGTGACCACAGGGAAAATGGAGCACAGGAACGACAGCTGGAGACAGCCCAGTGGGCTAATGCTGCTGCAGGCAGAATCAGCGTGGCTTCTCTCTGCAGCATTTATAGTGATTATCTTCAGTAACAGATGGATTTTAGAATTGAAATGCCTTCAGGAAGGGACTCATGCCTCTGGCGAGTGGCAATAACACAACAGATGTTAACGCGCAGGGACCGCAGCAGGACGAGCGTTCCGAGGGCTGTGGGGCACAGGACCAGGGAGGGGGAACAGGACAAGCCCCAGGAGGGCAGCACTCGCAGCCTGGCCCCCCAGCGCTTTGCACGTCCTCTGGCACAAGCCCCAAGCACCTCTGCCCGAACACCGGGGTTTTACTTCGCCGCGTAGCGAGCGGTGTTCACAGAACACAAGTGGTGACCTTTGGGGGCAAACGCAGTCGGACTGAAGCCTGCTCCTTCACAGGGCAAAAAGACTTGCAGCGGTTTAGAAGAGACTGACAAAACCACAAGCAGCTCACACCCCAAAGCACAAGGACTGCAGCTGATGACCGCTTCTTCCATCCTGTGGCTTCTGAGAAGAGGTTTGGCTCTGCAGCTCTTTGTAAGGGCTATGAAATCCTTCCTGCACAGCCTCTAGGTGTTAGTTTTTGAGCCCCTGGCTTTCATATATAAAAACCATAGCGTGGAAAAGGAGACAGCAAACACGTCTAGCACAGGTCTGGCCACATGACTCTTCTGTTCTCCCTTTTAAAGGCTGAAAACCCACCCACAAAAAAATAAAGGAAAAATGAAAAACACATTTTAGGATAAAATCCTTGCTTTAAAAATTCATTATTATGCAACATCAGGAAGCCCAATTAAGAAAAAAAAATTTTAAAAAAAAGATCCTAACCGAAGGAAGATAATTGTTGCCAATAGAAATCAATAGTCGTGGACCTTTCTGTACTTCTGTTTAAAGATAAAATACACTTAATAGCTGCAAGCACTATCCTGCTGTCCACAGCAGTTCTGCTGCGCATGAAAAACCCGGAGCATTGGCCTGGCACCAAGTTGTACCAGAGCAATCATTCAACAGTGTGCTAAAGTAAACGGGCCCAGATGATCACTGTGCTGACGCTGTTCCCCACAAAAAAAAACAACCCTGAGCCCACATCTCGGAGCCTGCAGCCCACACATACACACACACAGCTACCCTAAGAAAAAAACCTCTTAAACTCTCAAATCTCCCTCCTCCCAAGAATTCTGTGTAATTTTTATATGAATTGTCTCACTGCCTCTGCAAAGGCAACTGTTTTGTAGCAATTACTGACTTAAGCACAAGACTAGATATAGGATCAGGCCTGGCCGCAGCATCCCTGGACCAGTAACCTCCTTGGAAGACTCAAATTCCCCACCAGATCTGGCAGTCGTGGCTCTCCGAATCCAGTTCAGAGACCCAAATGCTGAAGTTGTGAAAGTCGAGGTTTGACAAGTGTCTTTGCTGGTTTGCAGGGCTTCCAGCACTGAGCCAGCATAACCTGCGCTTGTGCCCTTGTTTGTTCCCCTAGGCCAGGGCTATGCCACCATGCTGCCCCCAAGACTGCGGGCAGGGCCCACTTTGCACCCACTTGTTCATTTTACAGGTACCCCGCAAGTTTCCATCAAGGACAGAGCCTGTGCAGACAGTCCTTTGAAAGAATCGCAGTTCACATGTACAGAACCAGTCAATGCTTTCATCTCAAACCGATCAACAAAAACACAGCCAGAGCTTTGCGCCGCACTGCATTCTCACGCTGAAAGCTTTTGCCACTTTCTCACAGAAGGCTGGAGCAGCCTTATCTCACACAAGACAACTACAGTTCTTCAGTCCAGGTGTTGAATGACTAATCGTCAGGATCCTCACCTGCCAGTGATAAACGACCACTCGTTTTCAGGTGTCAATGCTTTTATTTTGTGCTATCAGTGCAAAATAAACACCAAGACTACCACCATTTGTGCAGCAGCTTTCACGAAACAAATCTTACAATTATACAGCGATACACAAACCGATCAAACCAGTATTCTTATGCTTCCGGGAGTCACGCAACCCACACGCAGTGAAATTAAGACAGCAGAAATACAGCTATTACATACACGACCACTAGTGGCCGAGAAGTTTCGTTTTGCGAAATGTGAGCAAGCCAACCTGTTCCACATATTTTCATCTTCCAAAGACCCCGTGCGCAATCGTTACCAGTAGTTGTAGTGGAAGCCTATTTCAAGTGTTTAAACAAGAACCAGGTGTCGTAAGTGGTTTAGTGCAATCCCTCACAGAGGTACATGGTGCAACATTCCTTTGGCGACAGCATGTTTTTACACACACTTTATGTAGTCAAATTCAAGCTTTGTGTTCCCTGCACTATAGTCTGTGTATGTTCTTTTCCTACACTTTCCTACATAATCGACCAAAACTGTATCTTGTCAAATAGCACTAGCATAAACCTAGAACGAAACATGAAATTGGAATGCAATTTAATAAACTGATCCAGCCCACTAAGACAGCCGTAACATTTACAAAACGGTATTAACATACAGTTGACAAACAAGAAACAAGAGAAACCAAGAGCGAGAACTGAGCTCTCAGCTCCCGGATTTACATTCCTTGAGGCACATCATGAGGTGCAGGGTGAGGTGAGGCAATATAGCTGACCTGCTGCAGCGGTCCCGAACTCGCAGCACTAGCAATTGGTGGAGAATTTCCGTACGGTGGATTTACCGGATGCCAGGTACTTACATAGCGATAGGCAGGTACTACAGAATCGAAGCCATGAAGAGATTGCTGGCTGAAGGGGTCTGACATGACTGGGTAATACACTGGCCCGTAGGACAGGGGTGGAGGCTCTGCATTTTGAAAGTTACCTTAAAAAACAAAACAAAATCAGAACAAAATACACACAACTCCCCGTATTTTACCATACCTATGGCCTTTCTATGCAGAATTCCATTACCAGCATTATTTTGATGGCCAAAAGAGACCATCTCTTTAGACAACAATTTTATACCCACGTCTCCCCACTAACGGAGAAGTCCGGATCATTTGGGGTCTCATGTCAGAGGACAATTTGCTGATCTTCTCACTACACCCTGTGCAAAAATTGCCTGGCAGCATTCTGCTTGGAGCCACAGCTTTTTCAAGCGGGGCTCAGGTCAAGAGCTAATATATTCTTCCTCCACTTGATCTCTGACCATATGACCCTTATCTATGCAAAAAAACAAACAAAAAAACCCAACACACAACACTCCAGCTGAACAGACCAAAGCATTAGCAGAGCAGTGAGCCTGCACTGCCTCCAAGCCAGTTTTGTTACGACGCGCTCCTTTCCAACACTGACCATTTGCCACGTTCCAGAGATTTTAATGAGCTAGGCATCTGACCTTTTTGACATCTTCTTCCTCATTTAATATAATCCTCCTAACTCACTGCCAAGTGCATCTCCAAGCTTGTTACAAAGCTGCTAGGTGAAGCTAAGTTTTTCGGTAAATTTTACACACACAGGAGATGCACCTAGCAATAAGTATTATTCAAGAGGTAACAGCCTAGCATGCTGAGCCCTGAAACTAAAGTTGGCAACATCTTCCTTTTAGAAGTCCCCATGGAGTTGAAGCATGAGTTAATGCTCAATGTATGGCTAAAACTCAACTCTCTCCTTCACTTTAAATATAGGTATTCTGCTTTGATACTATGCCGATTTGTTTATCAGTAAGCAAAGATACTCCTTCAGAGTTTTAGACAAAGTTCTCCCAAGTTGAAGCCAGCATACCTAGCACAGGCCTAGAATTACTGCTTCCTTTTTATGGCTTTAGAAAGCCCTTGACATGTTGGTGGCTACACCAGCAACTGTGACATATGTAAAGTAGGGCAGAGGAACTTGTCATAACAAGGCTTACTCTACATCTTCCCAACCTCATGCTTCCTACAAGTTAGCAAAGCTGCAGGCAAGCAGCTCCTGTGGAGCCGTCAAGCTTTGAAAATCTATCCCCTCACTCCTCCTTAGTTATGTGCATGCTCTTAGACTCAAATACTGACCATTTACAGGTGCTTCCAAGGGAACCTGGTGGACTTCGGTTCGACCAGCATCAGTGTAGAGCTGAGGTACTGACTGATCTAGGACAGGAGCTGGCTCAGCATATGTTGGATAAACTTCTACGGGTGACGGCTGCAGCACTGGCTGCACATACATCATGGAAGGCCAACAGCTCTGATGGTAATACTTTGAGAAAGGGAAAAAAAAAATACAAGGTCATGCATACAACCACATATTCTCCATCCCTCCTCCAGATCACTACTCATTTCACATCTAAAATTGGGTAGAAATGCATTTTTTTCCTTCCTAGCCCCACAAAATACTACGCACACCAAAACAACCCAGTACAGCCTACGAGCAGAGATATTGCAGTACCTGCCGCAATGGCCACCTCAGTTCCACTTTACTGTTGTGTCAGAAATCTTTACAGGGAAAGACGATTCCTCCCTATCGACGTAGTCACGTTTAAAGAGATTTTCTCCTATTTCTAAGCAGCTGACATTACTTCTTTTACCTCCTTGAGCAGCAGCACTGACACTGCCCATGGCTGCTGGTGCAGAGACAGCTCTTGAGCAGAGCAAGAGTTCCCAGAACACAGATCAACGGTGCTAACCAGGCTGAACACAGCTGTACAAGTCCTAGAAGACTCAAACCACACATCTCTAAACGGTCTTTGGTGTCTTGTCTAAGTACACAAATTTTCTTAAGAACAGCTCAGGTTCTTACCTTCACGGAAAGAACAATATCTAGCCACCACCTTCTGCAAAAAAAACAAAAACAAAAAAACCACCACCACAACCCAAAGCAAAACTACACAAACATACTAGTGTGCTTCACATTTTGAGACAGAACTTCGCTTCCTGAGCTATGCTTCGATCTCCACCAAGCAAGCCTATACTTATTAATAGTCAAGTGCACAGGATGCACATTTAGCACACTTGGAAGTCTTAAATACATCAGTACATTTGTCAAGAGAAATAGCAGGTTTTACAGGCAATTTACTATACTCATTTTAAAAGCACTTACTTGCAAGCCCAGGTTAAAATAATACCGCAAGACTTTTGTATCTGAAATTAAAGGATATGACATTAAAAAAGCAGAACAGCATATAAACCGAGAAGGAAAACGACATTTACACATTAAGTAACCTGAAATAAAAGGCTCTTAATATAAGTGCTTTAGCACTACTTTTTCTTTAAAGTTTTGAGGGTAAGGAGTATCTTGAATATAAACAGAAAATTAGTTTGTCTTTTTAAGACAATCCAGTTAGACACTCACGCAGTAGTAGAGCATTTGTCTGACCAACTTATTAACAAATGTCAATGATTACATTAGCTTTAATGTTGGTTTATTCATCTTGATTACTCAAGTGATAATTGTCAGTGTTGCTACAAGTCTCCACTGCCTAAGCAACCAGGCCTTAAGCAATTCTGGCTTCCTACTAAGGCTGGGTTTTCAGAGGAAAAGGAATTTAATTATGAGCCCCTAAATTAAGTTGACCACTTAAAAGCACTCACTCCCTTCCTCACTACAGAAATGCGGAAGGGTTTGGAAGCCCATGGGCAGGCAGGCACAACCTCACAGACCGGTGACAATTTACCCTCGATGTACACAATTACACGTGTCCTCTGCGTACACACAGCAAATATCCACGTTGGGCTGACATGCGACACAACAGACCAACTCCACCAAGGCACAGTGGAGCTGCACCTTCACGCTGCTTCTGCTCCACATTCAGTCTGGCTCTGCCACCTTCTCCATCTTCAGAACTTTGAGCGAGGACCAGAAACACGTCAATGGGGACAACATATGCAGCAAACCTAACACCTTACGACCTAGTGTTAGGTCAAGTCAGAAAACGGTGAGGAGGAGGGATAAGGAATATGTTCCTTCCTTTCCCTTCCTCGTAAGGGTACTCAGTTTCCTGCTTTCTTGCAAGTGTTTTACTTCTGTCTTCCACATAGCGAGTATTGTATTTGCCTGGGGGCAAATACATGATATGCTGAGAAGCAATGCCAAATGTGTGGAGGAACTTTGAAACCATTCTCCAAAAACAACAGAGTTTTGAAGTTGGAAACACATTTCCAACTGTCTGAAAAACAGGGAAGCAGTTACAAACCTTTGAAGTTGACCACTGAAAGGAGAAAAAGGCAGCGCGTGTTTGACTCCTGTAATGCAGTTCTGCAACTGTGCGCGAGAAGAACGGTTGATTTCTCAGATTCAAATCCAGATTGGTTTTAAAGGCTCAGGAAAAGCAAGTGCCCTATTCCACAGCAGTGGGCTCTGTGTGTGAGTGCACACACAGAGACTCTGCTTTGGCATTACTGGGAGCCCGGGGGCAAAGCAGGGAGATGGAGATAAAAGGAGCGAGCCTCAAAGGGCTTCAACTTAACACCACCTCCAGAGTTACCACATACACCACCTTCTCACCACCTACATACTCCTCCTAGACCAGGACCTTGGCTCCCCATTGCTTCCCTGCCCACCCACCCACCACACATTCATACTTGTCCAGCCCCGCGCGTTGTGTCTCAACAGAGATAGGCACGGCATCAGAAACACCAACCCCAGTCCTGAAACACACAAGGATTCGTTCCGCCGTCACGGGTGCCAATTCCCAGCTCTTGGACTGTTCGGCATATTTGATCAGAGCAACTATCCACAAGCTGTTTCAGAAGATGCACACAGATCGTTCTTTACAAAGAGCTGTAAGCTTAACTCCTGCCTCAAAGTGCTGGTGATTTGGCTGTGACACTGACCACAGTCAGTGAAATATAAAAAATAACCCAAAAGCTCAAAGATGCCTAGTATCTAGCTAAAACTACATCTACATTTGAAACAAGTCATTTTAAATTTTCTTTAATCTAATTTTGTTCTTCAATTGTTTATGCCAAACAGTGCAAAACAAGCATAAGAGCTGAATGCAACAGCTGCTTCATAGCAGCGATAACAGTACAAAGGAAGAGCTGGGAGACTGAAGTGATAAACCGGTACGGAAATACTGATGTCTGTGGAATGCTAGAACAGAAGCCAGTACAGTAGGAGACCAGTTTGTTTATATTCCTCTTTGAGATGTCTAGAAATCAAGTTGATCTTCAGTAAAACATGACTACCTTATGAAACAATACCTAAGCCAAAAAAAGGTAACCACCCTGACGTGAAAATAAAAAAGCAGTGTTGAATACTGATAAAAAAATCGCATAATGCATCAGGACAAAAATCACGGCGATATTTTTACTGTGCTGATGGGAAGCTCTTGCCGATCCTGAGCACGACTGCAGTCTCTGGAAAACAGTAGGATCAAGCAGTCTTTTATCAGCAGCTCCTTCAAAAACAAAGGAACAGGCAAGGGTAGGATACCTAAGATCTCCGTGTTAATAACAAACACACTTCACAAGCCCTAAGCTCTACTAAAAAAAAATTCAAAGAGACTCTGAAAAACGTAACAAATGCAGACATACAACATAAAACTAAGGCACACGTCAGGTTTTCCCTCTCCAAGTCCAGGACTTCAGTCTGTTGACAAGTCCCCACGCCAATCCAAATCCCAGCCCTACAAGTGTCTTTAGCGAAGTGCACAGAACTCGAGGTCAAATCTACCCATGCACTTTCCCCTGCACTACTCCAAAGCTTCTGGATTTCTTAATTTAAAGGCCATATGGATTACATTACAGCAGCGTGGCAACATAAATGCTACATGCAATTCTTTATTAACTACCAACCTTAAAATCCTTTAAAAAGTTTCCAGAGTCTACGCCAAGAAGGACATAGTCAATACTGCATGGAGTGACTCAGTTGCAGAGCTACAAGCAGGGTCTGAAGAGGTTATCAATCCACATTCACTCCAGAATCTTGTCAGTACACTTAACACCCAATTCTCCCAAGTGCTGAAAGCCTCAGTTAAGGGCATTCTACTAAAACTGAAAACCACGAACTCGGATGCATGCATACTATCATCTAGAGCGACACTACTGCAGCGGGGAAGTGGAAAACAGAATATTTAACAAAACCAGGAATCGAGAGCACCTGCAGGAGAGCAGAGTTACTGCAGAGCACATGAGCAGTACTTGTGACAGCCATCACGCCACAGTGTTTTGAAACCTGCCTTCTTCCAGATCAACTTCTGACAAGACAAGCATGTTACACGGTAAAAGCTACTGAAAGAATCCGTGAGCATTTCAGCCCACAGTTGTTCTATAACCTACCAGATGCAGCTATCCAAACTGTAGATATCAGGAGTAGCTCTTTATCTGAAACGAGCCCTCTAGAATCAGCACATGGAGGAAAGTACCATGCAGGCACAACAGAGCTACTTTAGATGGCATGAAAACAATTTGCATTTCTGAAATATTTCATGCTCCATCTTCAAGAAACAGATTTTTAGAACAAAAAGCCAAAACCTTTATATTCTATGTAGTAAAAGCTACAACTGCCGTACACCTGAAATACAGTCAGTTACAAGGATGTTTTGGTGTTTTTTTGGAGGGAAGTAGGGAGAAAAATCAAGTCAGTTATAGTAAAACCATACTTTCCAAAACAGTGTAAAAAAAAAAAAAAAAAGCCACTTGGTTTTCACAGATCCTACATATATGCAGCCAGTTCTTTTCCTCACTCACTCCTGAATAGAAAAGCCACCCTCTACATCCACAGAAAACATGGGCAACTCGGAAACTTGAGCTAAAGGTAATAAGTCTGATAAAATCACATCATTTACTGTATTAACAGAGGAGTATTAGAAAAAGCCAGCAGCGATGCAGACTTCCAACATTCCCAGTGTATGTGGCTACACGGAAAGAGCCTATGTACTTCAACCAATGCGCACAGATACACATTTTTGTGTTTAAGTCATGGGTAACAGCCAGTTGGTTTTGCACTGCTGCACCTCAGAGTAGGCTACAGCTTACCTTGCTACTGCCCAAAATAGCTTCCTCCCATTTTCCCTGCCAGAGAAGTCAGAAACAGCTGAAGCTGTTGTATGTGACGCAGTGGCAACACAGGTAAGTGTAACTGAACTCCAACTTCGGTCCGGAGCATTCCTACACTACACAGTAGCACAAGGACTACACACAGAGGACAAGCAGGCTGAATAATCACTTTTTCTTTTACAGTCCTTTTAAGTTTTTAACCCTTAGCGCAGTTAGAGCCACCATCCTGTCAAAAAAACAGAGCAAGGGGACATACACAGGGCCAGCGTTTTCTACCGCAGTCCAGAACTACATGTAACCAACAATCCTTATCAGCTAAGACAAGACATTTGCATCACAGAACAGTTTTATCTGCCTCTCAAGGTGTGTGCAGTGATACCATGGTGGTGGTTTTGGGTGTCACAGCATTCCCCACCGAGAGAAAAACAAGTTACCTAGCATAACAGCAAGCAGTACTGTTATTCCTGCAGCTGAGAGGCACTCAGCTTGAGATAAGCACAGCAGACAGCCTGATCTTCGGGTTATCAAACAAAGCTCTGTGAACTACAGGCTCTATTTATGCCTTGCAAGCCACAAACACGACAAAACCAGGGGATAAATTAAAAACAAAAAGTCAAATACGTATATGCCTGCTGCGCTGCTTCCTAAGCTCGGCTGTCTGATGCAACCTTACAATTCGAGAATATTGTCATGCCATGTAAGAACAAGTTGATTAAAGATTACCACTGCTGAAATGAAGTCCACATTCAGCTGACATCTGAAAGCTCTTTCTGAGCTGCTCTTTGCACGCTCAGTGTTTAACAGCTCAAACGCACCTTAAACAGTGTTGTACTTGATGACAGTATACGAAAGTCTAGGCACACAAGGAACAAGGTGACCCTATGCTTTATCCCTGGTTTATGATACCACAGAATGACATCTTGGAGCCACAAAGGAAAACAAACAATATCCCACTGAATTGGGCAACAGCACAACTTTATAAACACGCTTTATTTTAATCAGTTATCAGAAAAACGTTTCTCCATCAAGAACCCTCTCCCTTGGTAATCTCTTTAAGATGCTGAAAGCTGCAGTAATCACGTATTTGAGCAAGACATGAACTTGCTATTCAGAACTGGGAATTATTTAATTTTTAGCATAAGAACCCACAGTATTATTTCTCACTCCCTGCAAGCTGAAAATAACCATTTCTTCTCATTAGAGATATTCTGTTAAGTTTCCACAGAGAACAAAAAAAAAAAAAAAGAAGTGTGCCAAAAAACATCATTATTACCTCGAGGCAGATCGCTGCCACTGGGATCACAAGAGTAAGGTGGAAGAGTGACATCAGGTTCTCCTACCTCACTGACTGGAGGAAGAGGAGCTGAATAAATTGGGAATGGCACCGAAGAAATTGCTACAATTAGAAGGAAACAGAAGTCAAATCAAATTTGCAATGGCACGTCACATGAGCAAGATGCTAAGTTGCACAATTAAGCACGCACTTCTTTGACATCTCAGTGTCCCCAACTACAAGCTTTAACACAGTTCTCTTTAGTAATCACTGTGAAAGTCCAGAAGAAGTTTTACAACCAGATGGGAAGGTTCCAATCTCACAAGCTTTGACTGTATGTCTATCTGCAAGCTTCACATTCCCATTAAGAATAAATATTTCTCCACACTAGAAGACAGGCCAGACTTTCTTTACGGAACTGCCTGTCCTAGAACAACAGGATACAGACTGATCATTACGTCATCCTAAGTGTGACAACAAACCCACAGAAATAGGGTAAGGCTCAAGACATGTCAGGCCAAAAATATTTCGGACTGACTACCGTGAAATATTCACTAGGCAGCCCCCACCTCTTACACACCAGCATATTATCTCTCATGGCATCAGCAAGTAGATAGCTTAGAGAACTGTGCTGACTAAACTTCACAAAGAGTGGAAAAAAACCAAGCCAAGAGGAAAAACGGATAAGGGAATAACAATTTTTTCTTAACAGACATTTCACAAGAACAAAGTAGACATGACATTTCAGGGGAAAAAAAAAGTAACCAAAACCATAGACATTTCAAGTTCCTAGCTGTAGTATGTACACTCTACCTGGCCTCCCTACAGAAAGAGGAGATACCACGACCGGCTGAACTGTCTGGGGGGGCATTGCTGTTGTGACACTGGCTGGACTGGAGGCAGCAGAATTTGAGAAGTCTGTAACTGGAGCAGCATAAACTCCTGTTGAGGCTGAGACTGTTGCAGAGTTCACCACCACCTGGAAAAGAACCGAGTGTTCAGCCAGCTGCCTCTACCACTGGCTTTGACAAAGACTATGGAAGTATCATGTAGTTCAAAAACTCACTTCACATTCTGAAAGTCCTAGCTGTAAAGGCAGGTAACTATCCCAGTTCTCTGAAAACTGGCCTGCAAATAACAACTTAAAGACACCTTTGCAGACACCTGCAAAACCCCTTCCCACTCTTCTGTTTTACTTACAGAGAATCATATTCTTTGCTACAAGATGCTCTAAGGGACCCCACAAATGAACAGTAACCAAGCAGAAGGGTCACCTCTCCACAGGGCTACCACAATAAAGTACTAGAAACTACCTTCTGGGGATAACTGTAAGAAGCCACGTCATCTTGAGGAGACACAGGAACAGGCCCTTCGTCCTGAAGGGATTCCAAAGCAAAACATGGTCCATTTTAGAGGCAGAGAAGTCACAAGGCACACATACACCGCACCTTTACTTATTTTTAAAAGTTGGTTTATGGACTATATACACACAGAGGATCTTATGTAACTCAGGTAAAAGCAGTTATATTCTGACATGCACGGGACTGGCTTTCACACCCACTGTAGACCAATAGGTGACTAAATATTTAGTTTCACATTAAGAAACAAAACCAAAACCAACAAACATTTCAAAAGTCAGTTCTATCAGAGGTGAGATCTCTCAAGTCTTCAGGATTCCTAATCTGAATACAGAGTGGCTAAAGCTTACCAAGTCAGCTGTAGGTTCTGCTGAACTAAACACCGTTGCAGCTTCACAGTCAGGATCTGGAGAGCATAGGCCAAATTAACTCAGGAAAGTAGCATAAAATCTAATCCTTCAGAAATTTATAAAAAGGTCAGGGTGAGTGCTCTACATTCACTGAGTATTCCACCAGTAAAGATTGAAGTTTTACTTACCTGGAGGTGCATAGATGTATTCTTCATGAAATTTCCC